TACTGAGGGGCTCTGGAACAGCTGCCTGATGTTATCCACTTCTCTCCCTATCTCTGCAGGTTGACCACTTCACTTGTGGTTCAGTACAGGGCCATCTTCTGCACAGAGCTCAGCAGATTCCTGGTTGTCCTCTGAATATCAGAGAGTTTAGGCATTTCTTCCACCGTCAAACGCAGACATATGTCAGTGATGCACTCACTAGATTGTGTCCCTGAAGTCTAAACTAGCTAGAATGTCTATTGAGGTAGAGGATGCAGGTAGATGCTTTGCTTGTGCAACCTCTGAAGATTCACAAGCATCACCCTGGGAGGCACTGGCTGGTGCTGATGGGTTCAGGCTGCAGCCTCCTTCACTGTACTGAATCCTGTGTGCTGCTACTGTCTGTAGAAGAGAAGTAAAAGAATCAGTTGTTAACGTACGCAAAAGCTTATGCAGAACATTGGGCTTTGTTCACATCGAGAAGAGCAGACCGTAATGTTACTTACTGGATTCCTGTCTGTCCTGGTCACAGGAATGATCCTGGTCTTGCAAGGTCAGCTCTATTCCCACCCCTCAAAAGCAGTGAACATCTTTATAGTTTTGTGGGTGAGTTTGTCCTACAATGCAATAAACAGAAGGATTGAGGTGATGGCAATGGGAGTACTCTGTAAGAATGCTTGAAAATGCCAGGCAGTGAGCTGTCTTTACTCAATGAATCAAAGACACAGTGGCCAGGAAAGATTGGTACTTTGGGAGCTTCTCAGTGTACATTATGCATGTGAAGGTGAGGCTTTAAAAGACCTATGCAGTGACGTAGGTGGACTGTGATGCCCTTGTGAGTGAAAGCTAGCAAAGAGAAGATGGTGCCACTTACCCTTGAGGATCGCAGCAAATAATACATTCTCTTGCAGCATTGCAGCTGGCTGCATTGATGAGGTCCATTGGCACTAACCCTTGCTCCAGTCTTGGTGGATTTAGTGGAGAGCGCCTCCTGGAGCCATCCCTGGGAAGAGGACTTCCCCTGTTTCCCTTATGCCATCCAGTAACACCAGTAATGAGACATCACTAACGTGCTTCTGCTTCTTCTGTGGTACGGTCACTGTGTTGGGAGTGAACAGAAGTTCCTAGCTTGCAGCAAGCGAAGTGGTCCAGCTGGTCTTTAAATATAGCCCGAGAACCCATGATCCTGCTGTTCCACCAGGGGGAGAACCTAACTCACTCATTTGGCGAGTCACTCACACATCTCGATTGAGTAGATGTTGAGATGAGAAGCATGTAATCACACAGGATAATACATTGCAGGCCGTGGTGACCTTTAGCAAGCTCTGTGCCATTCTTTAATTCCAAAATGCAAATTTCCTGACAAAATTAAGATTAGACTCTGAAAGAAGTATCTATAAATATTAACCCAGAAACTGTTGGAGCAGTGCGCTATGTGAATTGGATTTTCAACCAAACTAATGGAAGCACAAATAAACAGCTGGGTATCTGAAAGCTCACGTCAGGTCCAAAGATCAATCTCCTTAGACAATTAAATATAAGAACAAAAAGTAACAGAATGAATAATGGAGAAGGAACAAAGGTAAATTAGAGTCCAATTAGATGAAGAAAGATTCACAAAGGAAGCCAAAGGATGATTGAATTAAGAGAAATAGAAAAAGGAGATAAAATGATAAATAAAAACAAAAAATGTAAAAATGTTAACTTTTAACAGTCTCTAGGAACAATTTACAAACTTCAGTAATGAGCCTCCAAGGTTTTAATTGTTCTCTGAAGTTAAGTAGCTTATTAGCACCATAAATTACTTGACTAGTATGCTTGAAATGTAAAATTCCGACAGCCTTAAATGTTAGCAATGAGAGTCTTCTTTTGTTCCAAATAACTTTTTGATACCCATAGAATCCTGACAATACAGATAGAGGTTATTCAGCCCTCGAGTCTGTACTGATCCTTCAAAGAGTATTCCACCTAGGCCCACTCGCCCACCCATGGCTAATCCACCTAGCCTGCAGTCCCTAGTCACAATGCAGCAATTTTAACATGGCCAATCCACCTAACCTGCACATTTTTGGACTAAGGGAGAAAACCAAAGTACCCAATGGAAAACCGCGCAGAGATGGGGAGAACATGCAAACTCCACAGCGCCACAGCTAGAATTGAACCTCAGTCCCTGGCACTGTGAGGCAGCAGTGTTGAGTCAACGTGCTGCCCTAGGTCAAGTCATGCCCATCATGTATCTCACCTTTGTGACACGTTTACGCAGTAGAGTCATAGTTATAGAGATATACAGCATGGAATCAGATCCTTCAGTTCAACTTGTCCATGCCGACCAGATATCCTGTATAAATCTAGCCCCATTTGCCAGCATTTGGCCCATATCCCTCTAAACCCTTTCTATTGTTATAGCCATCCAAATGCCTTTTAAATGTTGTAATCGTTCCAGCCTCCACCACTTCCTGTGGCAGCTCATTCCAAACATGGGCCACTACTGCATGATAAAGTTGCCCCATAGGTCCCTTTTAAATCTTTCTGCTCTCACCCTAAACCTATGCCTTCTAGTTTTGGACTCTCCAACCCTGGGGACCAAAGATCTTGTTTATTTACCCTATCCATGGCCCTCATAATTTTATAAACCTCTATAAGGCACCCTCAGGTGCTCCACAGAAAATAGCCCCAGTCTATTCAGCCTCTCCCTATAGCTCAAAACCTCCAACCCTGGCAACATCCTTTCTAAATCTTTTCTAAACCCTTCCAAGTTTCACTACAGAGATAACAAGGTGTAGCGCTGGATGAACACAGCAGGCCAAGCAGCATCAGAGGAGCAGGAAAGCTGATGTTTCGGGCCTAGACCCTTCTTCAGAAATGGGGGAGGGGAAGGGGGTTCTGAAATAAATAGGGAGAGAGGGGGGAGATATCTCAGATTCTCCAGCACCTGCAGTTCCTACTATCTCTGAAACAAGTTTCACGACATAATTCCTATAGCAGGGAGACCAGAATTACATAGAGTATTCCAATAGTGGCCTAACCAATGTCAACTTATTCTTGATGGGCTTTCTCTGTGGATTGAAGTTATTTTCCTGCTATGTAAAGCTCATGTTAATATTTTCTGTGCATGATTGCAAAAGAGTGTTGCTTACAGTTAGTTCCTGTCAGTGAGGGTAGGGTAGAATTTAATGGCCACAACAAAGTGCCCATTCACCAGCTGGAAATATGCCGGCAACCGCTTTGCTGCTGCCATTTTGGAAGCCCTAGAAGACAAGTGAAAGGGGCTGGTGCACCTGATGAGTGGAGGTAGGGAGGACAATGTGGAGGTCCAGATAGGGGCAGGGCAGGGTAGACCCTGATTGCCAGTTTGTGGTGATGGGTGTTTGGATTGGGACACAGGATACCAGACTGGGTGAAATACTCCTAAGCCTGCAGGGAGGCTGCCAAGATGTGGCTGGTGACCTTAGCACATGGTATACAACCCCCTCTACTACTTGTAGCATGTAAGAACCAGACAGATAAGACTCTTACGTGCTCATAAATTGGCTATCCATGACCTTCCCTGGCCCAAATGTAATTGGATGCAAGTAAGAAAGACAGTAGACCTGCTTTTTCCATTTTTGCTGCTGAGTTGAAGAAATTGAGGATGGAGATAATTAAATTCTGTCCTAAAAGTGTGCAGTGTCTACTGTCTGTATCTTTCCAACAATTCTTGGGCTATTTATGCTAAATCGCAATTGTGGATAAACATTGAAAACATTGTATTCTTGAAAGTATCCCCTGGTCTTAGGTCCATCAACAAATGCAATCACATTTCTTTACACACCATCTTACAGACCTAAATGCAATAAAGTCATTTCTGATATCATCAATATGGCTTCAGGCGATGACCGTTTCTCAAGGTGCTTGCATGTTTTATAAATATTACTTTGGAGTTTATTGGTTACCTTTGCTGATGATTCCGCTAAAGTGTGATTAATGCAAATCTAGTTAAGAACTGTCTTTTTTTAAAATAAATTTGCTAAATCTTGTCAAAAATTACTTAGTGCACATTCAAAATTATATGAATGGAAAACTCCTCCATGAACAATAAAGAAATATTAGTGAATGTATGTGAAAATGCTAACAAGGTGTTTGTATTTCATAATCAATAAAGGATGAGTTTAGCAACATTTTCTCAAGGAGGACACACTCATCAGTCTAGCAGGAACAAATCATTGCTGTAGTAATAGGAGTGTTGTCAGTAATGGGTTTAATAATCAAGAAGTGAGTTAATGTAACCATCAATGTGTGTCTCCTGAAATTTTAAAGCAAAGCCGTCACTTTGCCAAAGGAATACACTCAACAGAGAAGAGTGATTAAACCACATTTGCTACAGGAAACCATGACAGGATAGGTGGCATTGCATAAATCGATACACACAAAGAATTACCAGAAACAAACAAGAGTTAAATCATATGAATTTATGCATATTTCTGCTCCCATGTTGAACAAACTAAAATTACAGTGTCTCTTTTTGGCATTATATTTAGTCTATTACTGAAATATGGAATCATTTAACGTTTGAATCTCTGGCTTGCATGAGTTATACTTCTATGATTTATGCATGTTTTTTAGATGGCCCAAGTTCTTAGATTTTTTTAAAGTTATTGAGTCATATATTAAGCTGTCTCCAGAAACTAAATCAGAATCTGGAGCTGTATGGCAACAAACCAAAGAATTTAGAAATCTAATCACATAGAACCCATCAAAGATGGCAGCGTTAAGCTTCAACTCATCAAATTGGAAGAGAGTGGAAACAATTGAGACAGAACCTGTTGCATGATCATCCTACAAAAGAGGTACCCTTGATTAGGAACCATGCAAGATTCACTCCAATATGTGTGTGGCAATGCAGAAATATTCATTATAACAGACGTAATTGAATTGGGCAAGGAACACTGTAACTTTAAATACAACATAGTAGTTAATGAATTAGAAAGAAGTGGTGAACAAATGTGAGAACATTCCTTGAAAGAAGACACAGTGGAACAAGGTGGAGGTAAGTGTGAAAGATATGTGCACCATTTATTCATGTATTGCTACGGGATTTTATTGATTACAGCATCAACGTCATTTGGTGTTCACATTGAAATTAGGGACACAAAAGGAAACAGTGGACTAACAACTTATCTATAGGAAGTCTACTTCACTAACTCAATGCTTCAGATGCACTCAGTGACTAGTTTAGTACAGCCAATGAAAGTTTTAAAAACTGCTGCTTCAAAATCATTCCTCCAATCTCACCTTTATTCTTCAAGTAAAAATAAACTAACCTCCACATCAAACCTTACACACCACTGATAATATGTTAGCCTGAGCTTGTTTGCTCACTGCTATCTTTCTCAATACAATTGCTTTATTTTTTCTTTGCAGTTTTTTCCTGTTCAATTTGTTCTTCTTCTTCCTCAGGGATGAAAACACTTACAGTAAAGTCGCCCGTTTCAGTGCCGTATTTGTTTTTTACGAGGATGCTGTATTTGCCAGAGTCTGTTGTTCTGACATCGGTGATAGTGAAGGAAGCAAATTTTCCTGATTCAAATTTCAGTATTAGATGAGCATCGCCTAGCAGTTCTCTATCATTCTTCAGCCAGGAAACTGTAGGCACAGGTTCTCCCCAGACATTACAAGTAAGGTTAAGTGACTAAAAAGAAATAAGAAACAATATTTTTCTTTAACAATTACAAAAAGAACCATTAAAAAGTAAAAGTAAATTACTTCAAAATGTCTTATTTGGTCCAGCATGTGATTTCACCCACTTAAACAGAGATTAGATTTTTGGAATTAGCTGTAAAGGTTTTCAGTTGATCACTAAAAAAACTAAACAGATTAAATAACTTCTATGATCAATAACAACAATAAAAGTTTTAGAATGTAATGCAAACTTGCTGCCACCAAATTGTTAATTTTTTTTGTTCATAAAAGGATGTAGGACAACATCATCATCGCCAGCTAGCAGTCTGACAACATTGACCTTCCTTAAAATGAAAGGAAAACACTGTGGATGTTGTTATTTACAGCATTTTTAATTTCAATAAAACAACAGTCTTTAGTTACCTTTCCTTCTTGAATTGTAACAACATCAGGCAAACCTCCGATAACACGAGCACGATCTATCAGAAGAAAAATAAATTCTCTTAGACCTGACATAAAGGTACATCTTAAAGTGCTAATATTAAAATTACGAAATTACTTAGAGTACTATAGCAACTCAGCATGGTCAGTAACAGACAGTGGAAAATACAAACATCATTCCCATTCTCTGCTGTGTCATTTTGGAGATAACATGTGGGAATCAGATGCTTTTCCAATGTGAAACAGTGAAATATTGAGTGGTAAGTCAATCGCAATCCATTCTTATATTCCCGCATGGATATCTCAAAGAGATTGCAAAGCGCAGCTATATCATTGAACTGATCTTGCTTACTGGTGGAAAAAGCTCAAAGGCTAAATTGGCCGCCTTTTGTACCTTTTTATGGTTCAGCAAAATTGTTGCATTTTATAGAAAAAATTCAAATTTATACCCACATTAAAGATTGAAATTTTATGAACAACTATATCAGTTATCTCACCAATCCACTCATTAATAGTGTATTTTAAATATATAAAAATATTCATGATTTCTTTATAAAATATCTGAGGACATGATACTCACTTTTTTCAGCAATTGCAGCCTGTCTATTTATTAAAGATGAGGAAAAAAAAGTGTAAAATAAGGCAAAATGTGTTAGTCTATATTTAAGTAATTATATAAAGCACATTCATAATTATAAAGATATTTTGATAGCATCATAATTGTGACTCCATAAACACACATTTCTGCTTGATTTTTCTGTTAGAAATAGAAATCCATTTAGAGAGACATGGGAAGTAATCATTGTCGTGGTGTTATCTCTTCCTGTGTCTAACTGAATGCAGAAACTTCTGAGACAAATCTTAAAACAGTAGACAAATACAGTAAACTGGTAACCAATGACATTTCTGTGAGATGACTAATTGTTTACAAATGATTAACTGACTTATGGTTATTATCTACTTACTGTAATACAAAATTTACGATAAACCACTAAAATAGTGTTCACTTCTTCTCCAGTGACTAGCTGTCTAGCACACTGATCACATCATACAAGAGGTAGGTTCAAAATGGTACATTCTCGTGGTTACTTTAATCTCTTGGAATTATTTGAATCACCTAAAAAAAAACATGACATTTCCAGATTTTCTTTCCCCTATTTGGCCTTGGGTTTTTGATGTTTATTTTCACCTCAGTCAGGAGGCTACATTGTGCCTGAAGGCTATGGAGTGTCTTTAAGTGATAGGCATGGCATCATATGCAACAAGTTAGGTAAACCAGTGATCCTTTCCTGTCTGACGTTTTGCATGCTCATGTGATAGATTATTGAAACAGACCAGGATGGTCAAAGGCTCAATCTCTGACATATGTTGTACTCACTCATCTAGGCATGGGGCATTATTATAGATGCTAAGATTGGAAAATGTGCGGATTCAAACTACCATCTCACATCAATTATTGAAAACACATGCACGTGGTCACCTGATGGACTCAGAACTGAATAAGTTATTAAATGTGACTAATGTGAGTCTTGGGGTTAGGATGCGGTGCTTTCACTGCTGTGGCCCAGGTTCGATTCCCGGTCAGGCAATAGAACTTCTGTTTGGGGCAGCATAGTGGCTCAGTGGTTAGCACTACTGCCTCACAGCGCCAGGGACCCGGGTTCGATTCCACCCTCGGGCAACTGTCGGTGTGGAGTTTGCACATTCTCCTCATGTCTGCATGTATTTCCTCCGGGTGCTCCGGTTTCCTCCCACAGTTCAAAGATGTGCAAGCTGGGTGGATTGGCCGTGCTAAATTGCCTGTAGTGTTCAGGGATGTGTAGATTGGGTGGGTTATAGGGGGATGGGTCTGGGTGAGATGATCTGAGGGTCGGTGTAGACTTGTTGGGCCGAAGGGCCTGTTTCCACACTGTTGGGATTCTTTGATTCAAATTTAGAATTGCACATAGTTGTTCCAAATGCCTCTAAATCTCTACCCACTGCACATCCATTGCCAATCAAATTTTTAAAATAGTCAAGGAATATGTTTTTCCCCCAGATTTTGAATCTACATTGAAAATTGGTATGCAAGAGTTCTAAGAGGCATTGTAGCCTCCTTTGAAACAGAGCTAAAAGTCAGTGGGGCTGGAATGGGGTAACGGAGAATTGATATAACCTTCTGTTTTGTACTGTTGGTAGGCCCATTGGAAATGATGTTTTGCAGAATAGTGATTCTGATTCTTACAACTAGAAGTGCTGCCTCATAGTACGACTTCTGCTTCTGTGTCAACACCAGTGAAAAGCTGCACCAAAACTGAAAGAGTAGCACAACTTCTTCAATGAGGTGCAGTCTCTAACAAAGTATTAAAAAACTCACGGTACTATTTGAGAAAAATGCATAAGAGACTCCTGGTGTCCTGGCCAATATTCATTTCTCAAGCAATAAGTTGCCATATCATTTATCTCGTTTGTCAGAGCAGCATATATTGGCCGCTGCATTTCCTTATAATTACACTTTCAAAGAAGTTATTGCCTATAAAATACTTTTGGAGGTTCTGAGGATGTGGAAAGTGCTATGTAAATGCAAGTTCATTCTTGCTTGATTACCCTGTCCAGCAGGGCATCTGCCTGTTGTGACCAGACATTACACCCTAGTGCATTTGTTTCCTGCTATTTCTTCAGGACCTGAAAGGATTTTGTGGGCTTATTAGGGCTTCATGGTGGTGGTCTCCATTGGTTATCAGATGCTGGTAAACAAGTTATAACATTGTTGCTGTGAACACTTGTGAAAAGTTGGGATGATGGCTGCGTCAGAGTGGTCATTGCTATACTCATACATAGATGAATTGATGGAATAGTTTAATAGCTTCTAAAACAGTTAAGTGAAACTGTGTTCTGAAATCCAGAAAGTATAAAAATTGCTGATAGACTGCTATGCTGAGGTGCTCCTAATGTCAGTCAAATTGCACTGAAAACTAGCATCATGTCACCACCTACAGGAAAAGTAAGTACTGCAGGTAAATTTAATGGAAAATCTCAGTAAGGTTGTTTTGATATATTTTCAATGCATTAAGAAAAGGAACACTGTAACCTATTTAATATTTTTAAATTGTGTTACATATTAGCTTAAACTCTAAGAAGTCTATTTACATGCAAGTCTATCAGAGCCTAAGCTCACACTAAAAAATGAAGTGCTGAAGGGAGCCAGCACATGTAGAGTCATAATCCAGCAAGTCGCCAATATGTTTGGAATGGATTGGAGAAAGATTTTAAGAAGTGTAAAAGTTACATATAAACAACTTTTAGTAAAATCAGTGTACTTACTTCAGCCTCTGGAATTCTGCAAAGGCTTCATCAAAAACTTTAAAAAGAGACAGTAGTTAGTTGCTAAATATGTGGCAAATTGGTTCACTTACAACATTGTAACAAAACAATCGCAATTCCTGCTGGATACCGAACTTTGCCTGTCAAAGGCACTCTGATATTCATTTTTATTGATGCAAATATGCATGTCAATCTGCAACATCAATTTTACGCCCTAGCATCAAATTATAAGGCTACCCAAATATGGTTACCTTACCAAAGCTGCTGCTGTCAAATTTCTTTTTTTTCACAAATTCCACCTCAGATTTAATAACTAAAAGAAGATAGTTCACTGATGTTCCATAGTGCTGCAATAATTCATCATGAAATTACACTATAAACTTCATGCCCACATGACCAAGAGATCAGGAGAAAGCTGAAATAATTAGACGGTGGCATCTCAATTTAAGCGCTTTCCTGAAAAAAAAACACCATTCTCATTGAAGACTATATCTTAGTGTAGTTGATTACAGAACAAGGACCTTAAAACAAGAGACTTATCCATCTTGAGCTGCAGAAAGCCAGACATTACAGAAGAATCTAAGTGAGTAATATAGTCAACAAAATGGTGGGGCAAACTCAAATAACTGAATTGCCTAGTCTTCGTTCTGATGCTCCTCATGTTGTTGGATATGCTGATAAGCCTCACATACTAAGGAATTTGATTTGAATGACACAATATATAGTGTGTGAGAACCAACAAATAGTTAAATCTTAACAGCAGTCTACAAGTGGCATTAATTCTGGTGGTTTACTGTGCTTGTCATAAGCAATTAAACATCCAATAAAAATGTTTAAAGATACCATTTTCACGCATCATAAACAACTTTTATTTTTTCTCTCTGTATATACAATGTAGTTTTAACACATTCTGTGGGTGTTATTACTAAATGTTAACCCAGATGACGTAAATACGAAACAACTAGTGTTTATAACTCCACGTTTAATAGTGTTAATATTGAACATTCTTACTCAATTTGCATAGCAATTGGAAGCTTCCTGAGCAGACCTCAATCCCAAACAATTTAAGACTTGTCATGTATCTATTTGATAATTATATTCTTTATGTTCGTAATCTCTATATGTGAAATGTCCACCAGAAATACACTGAGATTATTTACAAAACATTTTCCATCAAAACTTTGCAAACATCAGAAAAAGGAAACATTTCCTTTAACAGAAGAACTCAAGTCAAAGAAAGAGCTATTATAGTGTGACACTAAGCACTTTAGTCCCAGTTGTTCATCTCAACTAACACTATATCATGGTTCATACATTAAGGTGATAAGTGGTACAGATACCTGCCATCAATGTACAGATATTCCTGAATCTGGTATATAAGGAATATTCTACATTCATGGAGGAGCTGATATTTATCCAAGATCTGCTGCCAGAAGTCCTCCCCTCCAACTGCTATGTTGGCATGAACTCACAGTGAATCAACAGGGACACTTTATTACAATACTGAAATGACCATACTGGAAGTTGATCTGTTTTTCTTACCTGCCCCTGATAATTCAACTGATTTTTTGTGTCCTGCTTTTCCATCAAAGAGTTCAAGAGTATAAGTGCCTTTATCCTTCTCAGTGGGTTCATTAATCTGCAGCCAGAGCTGCTCTCCTGTAACACCACTCTTTACCCTGTCTGTGGATGCAAGCTTTGTGTCTCTAGAGAAAGACAACAGGCATTTTAGAACAATCTAAACGTTAGGATGTGATTCATTTCTAACTTGCTCACATCTAATAAAATGAGTTCCAATAAGAAGCACAAAGCTTCTTACTTCTGTACCCTTTCTCAGTAAAATTAAGTACTGCACAAGAAAGAGCTAGGCTTTATGAGTTTCACTTCTAGGGAACATGGATTAGTGAGTTGGACATAGAAGTCAGCACCTTCAATTTACTTTGCTTCCAATTTTCTAGTGCCAAATATACAGAAGAAAGTTCTCTCTTACTTGTGGTACCAGATGATCTTCAAATCGTCCAGGTAGTAAGTAACAAAAGAGTAGATTCTGACACCATGTTCTGTACTCTGTACCTTCAGATCTGTTGCAGTCTGAGCTGTAATGTTAGCAGAACCATTTAGCTCCAATACCCAATTTATAATCATCAGAAAGTGATGAAGATATAGTGGAAGTCTTTCTGTTGAGAACACTCACCAGCCGCACGGCAAACTTCACTTATCACATCACCGAAAGCTGAAAAATTAAGGTTAAACAAGCTTGATATATCAGTGTTTATGGCTTCAAAGACATTCTCTCCTACAATTAGGGTTACAGTTACCCTTGGTTACATGATTGTCCTGCTTTACATACTGCTTCTTGATAATAACTCTTCCCTCTCACCACTTCTCTGCATTACCATTCAATGCCTAAATACTAATTAGTTCATCTGGGTATTTCCAGGGCTTATTGGCATTCACAAAGGGCCCCAGTTGAAAAATTTTAGGCTGCAAATGGTAAATTTATATTGATTTCAATGACTGTCTTTCAATTGCACATTTCTGTAAATATCAGGCCATTTGCACCCTTTTCTCAGACCATTTGTCTCTGGGAGAGGTAAAGTTGTCATAGTCTTAACAGACCAGAAAGCAGCTTTCTGATTAGAACAGGATAATTGGTAATGGTTTAATTTGAGCGTCAGCATGTCTCAGGCGAGGGGAGAATCATTCATGGTGACCTTAGCTGGTGTGGGAATTGAACCCATGCTGTTGGCATCACTTTGCATTATAAACCAGCCATCCAGCCAACTGAGATTGTGATGCCAACAGTATGGGTTCACTTCCCGCACTGGCTGAGATAAGATGAAGGACTCTCCTTTTCAACCTATCCCCTCGTCCAAGGTGTGTGATCTTCAGGTTAAACTACCAGTTGTCTCTCTTCAGCAGTCTATAAGAACAATAGTGTCTTTACATTATGAGGTTGTTGACTTGCTCACCAAGCTGGCTTGTGTTTGGTCAGACGTTTCATCACCATGCTAGGTGACATTATCAGTGGAGCCTCCGATGAAGTGATGTTATTCTACTCTGCTTGGAATTTGTACTGTCCAATCCATTATAGTGAGTACTGTCATTTCCAGTTTTGATCTGTATGGGTTTGTAATTGGAGTCCAATTCTATATGTTTGTTGATTGAAGTATGCGTGGAGAACCATGCCTCTAGGAATTCCTGTGTGTGTCTATGTTTGGCTTGGGATACTATTGTTACTTTGTCCCAGTTAAATTGATGGCCTTCATTGTCTGAATTTACAGATATTAAGGAGAGTTTGTCATGCTGTTTTGCTGCTAGCTGATGTTCATGTATTCTGATGGTTAGTTTCTTTCCTGTCTGTCCAATGTAATGCTTGCAGCAGTAGTTGCATGGTATTTTGTAAACCATGTTCATTCTGTATGTTATGGCATTGGGGTCTTTAATCCTTGTAAGTGTTTGTTGTATTGTGGTGTGGGCTTGTGAACACGCATGGGAATTCCCAGAGGCATGGTTCTCCACCCATACTTCAATCAACAAACATATAGAATTGGACCCCATATATAAACCCATACAGATCAAAACCGGAAGTGACAGTACTCACCATAAGGACTGGACAGTATAAATTCCAAGCGGAGTAGAATAACATTGTTTCATCGGAGGCTCCACTGATGATGTCACCTAGCATGGTGACGAAACATCTGAACAAAAACCAGCCAGCTCAGTGAGCAAGTCAACAATGTCACCTGCAACCCGAGCTACAAATCTTTGTCAAAACTTTAGTCTTTAACTTGTATCCACAAAGCCAGGTGGTGAAGGATACAATGAGGCCAATCTTTGCACGCTTTCAAAAACACTCCTTTACAAAAATGCACATCCTAGGAATATAAGTGAAAACCCCCTTCATGCCCACAACCCACATACAATTAAAATCAATGTACACGTAACAGATTCCTTTCTGTCTTGAAGTAAAGCTTAAATATACAGCCAACATTTAAAACTAATTAAATCAAAAACCTCTATTTTCTGTACTAGGCATTTCACAGCTAGGCACTCTCTCGGACTCTTAACAATGTTTTCATACATGCATTTCTTTCATAACAAATACAGCAGTTGATATCTTGCATTGAATCTAATTTTAGGAATTCCTTTCTTTGTAGAATTGATTCAAGCCAATAAGGTCAATTTGTAACCTTTCCCAGCAGACTTTTTGAAGAGTGTACATTATTCCGCAAAAAATGACTATCTACATTTCAGTATGTAATCTTCAGTATGCCCATTGTATGGGAACTCTCTTTAAAATTCAATAAATTTGAAATGCAAATCCACTGCCTCCATAAGAGCCCAGTTTTAGTAGCCAGAATGCATCTAAGAACCTTTTGTTATTTGCTTCCCTTTCATTTTTTGCATCCTCAACTGTCAGCAACATTTTGGAACCAGCTGCAGTGGAATGCACACTAGGAGACCTGCTAGTAAAGCATTGCTAAAAATGACCACTTTTACTTTCTTTGGATTATTTCAGAATGAAACCTTAAGAATATCTTTATCTATATTTATTTTCTTAATGTTTTAATTGCCCTGTTCTGTAGATATTTTGTGGTGCAATGGTAGTGATTGTAACGAGGTCAGCCAGGTGGACCTCATAGAATGTGCGTTCCCTGATTGGGGCTGTTAATCTGGTCCAGTCAGGGAGCCCTGGCTGACATTAAAAACAGGTGGTTCTGTTCACTCTGAGAAAGCCATATCATTGTCAAGTATTATGCACATTTCTGATGAAGGGTCTAGGCCCGAAACTTCAGCCTTCCTGCTCCTATGATGCTGCTTGGCCTGCTGTGTTCATCCAGCTCTACACCTTGTTATCTTAAATAAAGGGTGACATGGTGACAGGATACAGGCCTCTGAAGTTATTTCAGCAGTGGGTTGTGTTTCACCGCTGAGCCAGAAGCTCCACATGTTAGTCCTATTTCAAGACCTGATGGGTAAGGAAGGTGTATTCATAATGCAGCTATTGAGTATCATTCTGCAAAATTCTTTAACCTACACCAATGGCAGGTAGGAAGAGCAGGAGAGATTGGTTGTTGGCCAACTGGTGGAAAATAATTGGAATCTCTGACATCAGTATCTATAACTCTATGACAACAAGCTGCACGTTAAACTATATGTTGCTACAACAACCTGGACTTCTCAGGTGGACTTTTTGGATCAGTTGGCTGAATGGCTGATGTGGATTGATTGGTCCAAACAGCACAGGTTTTGATCTGCATGCCAGCTGGGATTGATTCAGGACCTGTCTCCTTGCCCTGCTAGCAGTGGAGATCACAGCACTCTGGGTCAGGCCTGCTTTCAGATGGAAAACACAAAAAGAAAATGATAACATTCTTACTTTAGGGTATTTCATTGCAGTACTTAAATCCAAAAGACTACAGCTAGCATCTAGTCCAGTCTGACTGATAATTTTGTACAATTAACTTGGATAGGATTTACATGTTCCAACCAGGATTATTGCTGTAACATTATTCCAGACTTACTTTGCTTAATGTCTATTGTACTTAAAAGTCCACTCTAAGTCTGACTCCCAAATGTAAATGCTACCTCAACCTTAATAACAAATTTCCCAAATTCTGCAGTATAACCTGACAATAAATCGTTAACACAAAGATTATTGAAAGTTTTCATTTTTGTCTATATTGCATCATCTGGATTTAATATGATGAAACCAGTTTTCATGAAATCAGATCTCACCCAAAAAAAGCCAAGGCTGTGAAGGCCACTGTCACATTTATTTAGATTCCCTGTTTTTCTTCCGCATCTGCTGCCCCTTCAGACAGTTTCAGGAATAATTCTCACTGAAAAGTATTTCACTGTAGAAATGTGCCTTTTATGTTGATTGGTCTCCACTCCTATGAATGTGGTCAAAAATGCTCAAAGATGTTTTTAATATTTCTTGCAATTGTTGTGGGAGAATACATTATTACGCCTGTGTCGCCCAGTAATTCTTCAAAAAAATAGCAACTGATCTAGCTTTTACATTGTAAGCCTCATCTATAAGGATTCTTTTCAGTACAAATCTACCTTTGTGAAAGGTTAGTTAACCTTTTTCTGATACCTCAGAATAAACACCAAAATCTGCCAAACTATCTAACTCCCCTTTTATGCTTCTGGTTGATCCTCAAGTTTATTGATAGTTATCAAAACCTCTTGAGCAAGGAGACTTCCAGCTTTTAGTTCTTTTGGAGACTTTTATGTCCTTCATTTCATTGTCTAAACTATTAAAGCTTCAGCCTTTAATTCCACTTGTGCATCCGTAGGATCATTCTCTTGTTTTACTGAAAGCTCTTTCTTCAGTTGCTGATCACTTCTGGTCTCTAAATCACCTTCCAAAATTGTTTGTCCCTTAAACAATTAAACTCCCCTGAAATATATGTCTCCCAGATATCAATTCTGGGCAACTGTCCTGTGAATTTGACAGCTCTGGCATAACCCTTCAAACATTTCTTATTCATGTACTTATCTAAATGTCTTTTAAACATTGTAACTGCGCCCATATCTACTACTTTCTCTAGAGCTTCGTTCCACACATGCACCACACTGTGTGTCTCATGTATTTTTTGAATCTTTTTCCTCTCACCTTAAGAATATAGTCTTAAAATACCTCACCTTAGGGAAAAGACACATGCCATTTACCTTTTCGATAGCCGTTATGATTTTATAGACTTCTATTATGTCACCTCTCAACCTCCTATGTTCCAGTGAAAAAAAGTCCCAGCCTATCCAGTCTCTCCTTATAACTGAAACCCTCTATTCCTGGCACCATCTTGGTAAACTTCTTTTGAACTCTCTCCAGCTTAATAATATCCTTTAACAGGGAGAACTGGACACAATATTCCAGAAGAGGCCTTACCAATGTCCTGTACAACCTCAACATAAAGTACCAACTCCTATACTCAAAGGTCTGAGCAATGAAGGCAAACATGCTAAACGCTTTCTTAATCACTCTATCTATACGTTATGCAAACTTCAGAGAATTAAGTATTTGAGCTCCTAGGTCTCTCTGTACTACAGCACTACCCAAGGCCCTACTTTTAATTGTATAAGTCTTGCCTTAGTTTGTTTTACCAAAATACAATACTTTGCATTTATCCAAATTAAACTCCATCTGTCACTCTTCATCTCATTGACCCAATTTATACCTTTAATTCTTGATACCCAACTTGATAGCTTTAATTCTTGTCTAATATTATATGAGGAACATGATGATTTTGTTAAGGGGATACATTAAAGTCTTGAATGAGCAATCTGCAAATCAACTGACTGCCTGTTTTTAATCATCCTGGTATGTTGATGCCTGTGTGTGTAATCTGAAATGTTTTGAAATCTGGCAGTTTTCTCCATGTCAAAGTGGAATGCCTCATTTATTCCGTGAAGGAAATGTCTGTTTCCCCAGGATGCTTTTTTTTTAAAGCAGCGGACATTTGATCAAACATCCTTCTCTTCTTCTAGAACCTAGTACCAGTTGGAACACATTTACTGTCCATATAAAACATCTCAGCAAAATCAATCATTTCAACATTACCAATGACCAGGGATCTGCAAATGGAATTTTGTCAACTTGTTACAAAATCTGTTAAAATCCATGATTACTCTTTTGTGGAATGACCAAATGTTTTTCAAAATCTGTCAAATTCTGCCAGGACCCCTTTACAAATATTTTGTATATTTCTTCCAAATACAAGGCCCAGAATTCCATCAATATCCAACTGACAAACCTCCATTTCACCAAACTACTTCTGATTATACTGCTTGTGGAAAGACTGATACCTTGTTTTCTCTTTGACAGTATCACAATCCATGTCAACATAACAAGTTCATTCACTCGCAGGTCATATGATTCAGACTCTGAGCAAATGCTAGACAGCAATCTTATCCCAATGATTTACAACTGCTTTTCTGCCATTTGCCCCGAAGGCCAGTAGGATTTTAGTTTTCTGTCAGAAAAGAAAGTTTAGTTTCCAAAGTTCATCATTAGCATCCGACCCTTGCTACCATACCATACTTCAGAAAGCTAGGTAGTCAAGGTTGGAACTGAAGTCAATCTTGACACATTTTGACACCTTTATTTACATATATGCACCACTTAAACAACTGATCTAATTGTGGTTTTCTCTGTTATCATAAGGTGTTGGATTCTTTTTATTCTTCGAAAATATCTGGGTGTTTATCAACAACAAACTATGTACACTAATAGGACCTCTCAGATTTATATATATGGTCTGGGTTATATCATAGAATCCCTACAGTGTGAAGCAGGCCGTTCAGCCCATCAACTCTACACTAGCCCTCCAAAGAACATCCCAACCAGACCCACCCCTTACCCTATCCCTGCATTCTCCATGGCCAATCTACCTGACCTGCACACCTTTGGACTGTGGGAGAAAATCAGAGCACCCAGAGGGAACCCACACAGATATGAGGAAAGTGTATAAACTCCAAACAGGCATTCACATGAGGGTGGAATCAAACCTGGGTCCCTGGCGCTGTGAGACAGCAGGGCTGACAGCTGAGGCACTGTGCCACTATTAGATTACTATTTTACAATACGTATAGTTGACTGGCTGACTAACTGACTGACCAACAGGTTGGCTTACAAGTGATGAAAATGGCCTACTAATAGACTAACTGAATGGAGAGGGAATAAGATGGAGACTGTTTCGACTCAAACATCATATCATGATGTTATCTGGCTGTTTTAAAGGAGTCATATCTTTCGGAAATCCGTGCAATAGTGCAACAACAACCATCACAGTTTCAATCTGTTCCCATTTACAGGAGCTCATGTGAATCCCCAGTTAATGCCCACCACCAGCATATTATTAAATGCAACTAAAATAAAAATAACAAAATGGAGTTCTTGTGGTACGGTGGTAGTGTCTCTATCCCTAGACCAGGAGGATCAGGTTCAAGTTCCTCCTGCTCCAGAGGTTTGTAATAACATCCCTGACTAGGTTCATTAGAAAATATCTTTTTGCCATGTTGTGGAGTCCGTGGACCTTGCATGTATTGGTCGTGGGGAATTGCACCCACATGTATTTAGTTATTTTAAAAATCATTTGTTGTAGTTTTTGTTGCAGTTCAGCCATAATCTCCTGATCTTTGGCCACCTGGTCTGGAGGGCTGCAGGTAGTTTGGAGGACCTCCTTATGGGTCTGCTCCTGGACCTGGCCTGATTGGCTATAAACAAGTCCAGGGTGTCATGTCTGCTGACTTTCTGCCCTTCTTCCTCAATTATGTTTGTGCCTGGGTATCCTTGGAAATGGAACTTGCGCTGTCCATCTCTCAATGCCTCTTGACTTAGACAGAAGTGGGTACCATGTGGGATATGGTGCTTTGTCTCCTCTTCCAACACCATCTTGATTTAGCCCCTTCCCTTTCTCCCTACTTCTCCCTCACATTTGATGATTTGCACTGCCCTTAACAGGCTTTGCATGTAAATATTTAATTGGCTATGTGGGTGATTGCTGGTGGGAAAGTCAATCAGTTGTGCGTGATAGCACTTCTGGATAAAGAAAAAGCATGAAAATAGCAGAAGGAGCTCTTGTGGCACAGTGGTAGTGTCCCTACCTCTGAGTCAGGAGGCCTGGGTTCAAATACCACCTGCACCAGAAGTGTCTAATAACATCTCTGAACAGGCTGTTTCGAAAATACCTACAAATAACAACTCCCTGTCTCTGGCACGTCCTTCAGACACCACTGAAAAATGAGAGGTTACAATATTGCACATGATATTACTATTTTATCCACAATCCAAACCACTCTCAGTGAGTGGAAAGGGTTAAATGTGGGCCTAAAATCCACTCAGCTGTGCTGATGCAAATATAGATGCATTTAATGGGCTTTTCAAAGGTTTATTGAAGAAATTTGTCCAATATTCGGGCACATGAATAATCTCTGCCAAACTTACCTTTCTCAAGCAGTCGGAGGGTACTCGAATCTCTTCCCCTGTCGTCCTTCAGCACAATTTCATAAACACCAGCGTCCTTCTTTGAAAACTGTTGGCACATTTTAAATCAGAATTTTGGAACAATATTGTCTGTTTGTACAAACCATAATTACATTCATCTCACAGAAGCATTTGCATTTATAGATATATTTTCTGACCTCATATGTTCCCACATGAACAATTATACTGCTCATATGGGATCTGAATGTGCTCTTTTCATTGCAGTGACTTTTCTGAGAAAGTTTATACAAATATGTGGAATAGTCCCATAGAATTGTGTCTGTTGCAAAATATACCCAGTGACATTTTGTTGTGCAACAAATTACTGTGCTGATATTTTGGCACACATATTTTGATTTTTCTGCCATGTAAAAGTCTAAAACTCCCTCTAGTATTCACCACTTCCTTGTTTTCTCCACACCACACCCAGCTGCAGCCCGAACACTGAACAAATTATCAGTTGACTTAATGGCTAGAGTGTGATGCAGAAAAACGTGAATAGCATGGTTTTGCTGGTGTTAATGGAAGCTTGCTTTCTTACCTTGTCCAATGCTTAATGTGGATTGGTGTTCCTCAAGCTATATAATCAATCATCTCCCACTTATAGAGACAAAAACCTGTAGAAACTTGGGAGTAGGCCATTCAGCCCTTTGAGCATGAATCACCATTCAATGAGATCATGATTGATTTTGTTGATGTCTCAACTCTACTTTCCTATCTATCCTCACTCCAAAAAATCCTTGACTCGCTTTTCTATCTAACATTGTCTTGAATAAATACAATTACCCAGTCTCCACTGCTGACAAAAGAAGAGAATTTCACATACTTACTAACCCCCTAACATAGAAAAAAATCTCCACCTTAAAAGTGTGTCACCAGATTTGAGTCTCCCAAGCAAGAGAAAACATCTTTCTGAGATCCAAACTATCAAGGCTCCTCAGGATCTTATAGTTTTGAAAATCACTTCTGATTCTTTGAAACTCCAATGCATACAGGCCTAACCCGCTCATCTTTCTTCATGAGATAAGCCCTTCATCCAAGGAATGAGCCAAATGAACCTTCTCTAAACTGCTTTGAACAGAATTGTATCTTTTTTTAAGTAAGGGCGCGAAAATTGTACACAGTACTCAATCACAATCTTAACAAGGCACTGGACAGCTGCAAGTAAACCTCCGTACTTCCACATTCTATTTTACCTTGAAATAAACATTAATGTTATATTTGCCTTCCTAACCATTTGCTGCAACAGTATTCCAACTTTTTTGTCAGGTACCAGGGCGTCAACATTCCTCCATAGCACTAAGATTTGCCATCACTTTCCATTTCAATGGTATACTGTTTTTCTATTCTCCAAAGTGGATCAGTTCATATTTTCATGAAGTTCCATCTGCAAAGTTTTTGCCACTCATTTTACTTATCTTCATCCCTTTACAAATACTCTTGGTGCCCTTGACAACTGACATGCTTACCTATCTTGGGGTCATCAGCCTGTGTCCTTTGCAGACTATGGGTGACCGTGAATCTGATTCCTAAATAAAAACTGAAAGAACTGATGTAAGATGCTGTAAGTCAGGAACAAAAAACAGAAGTTGCTGGAAAAGCTCAGCAGGTCTGGCAGCATCTGTGAAGAAAAAATCAGAGTTAACGTTTCGGGACCGGTGACCCTTCCTCAGAACTGGGGAAGGGTCACCAGACCAGAAACATTAACTCTGATTTTTTTCTTCACTGATGCTGCCAGACCTGTTGAGCTTTTCCAGCAACTTTCGTTTTTGTTCATGAATCTGATTCCACTGTTACTGTTGCTCGTAATCAGTTACGAGGAGGTAAACAAAGACAGTCTTGAGCACCTGCTAACTTTTCCTTCCTCACGGTGAGGAGGACCTAGCCCACAGCCAGCATGCCCTCATAATGATGCAGTTATCACCACTAATGTAACGATGTGGAAAGTGTAGAGGCATATCAAACATGGTAAAAACGTAGCAGGATTACTGTATAGTATATCATGTCTTTGGCTGTGTGGGGAAGTCATCTTTGCTTCCTCAATAAGTTAAAATATATGTGGGATCATTTGATTGCAATATTTAGAAAGTGGGACCACTGTTTGCGCTGTCTGTAATTCAAATTTGAAGATTGTCAAATTTGGTTTGGAACAGTATGTGTAAATTTCCATTTTAATTTTAATTCTATGTCCTCCCACTTTGAGTCCACCAAGCAGTGGTTGCTGGGAATAACCCTATAGCTTCAATCGATTCTTTCTATAACTTGCAACATGAGCAGCTCTGAGTGAAACAGTGTAAATGGCTGAAATCTGGGGGTAAAACAAAACCATTCCATTCAAATCGAAGCATTTTGTGAGCTTCGTCAGTATTCATGGCCAATTAGCAGTTTATTCCTAGGTGTTTCTGTGCAAGGTGTGAGAGAGGTGAAGAATAACTAGCACATCAAAACAGTTCTGATAAGCAACTTAAATAGCTATTGCTGACATAGTGGATAGCCAATTAAATGCTTTCAGGGGTCTTCCAAGCCTGTAGACTTCCTTAGGTACAATTTCTAGCTATCCATTAATGAGAACACAGGTAACTTGCTGACATAGGTTCCAGCAAAGAGAGAAACTACCGGAAATTCGAGAGTCTTAAGGAATTCCAAAAGGTCCAGTTGTCCCTTTGGCATCATAACCTTGTGAGGTGGACAGAACCTCTGACCATTTTCGGTCACAGTTGCTTTTCTGCATGGAGATCCAATTTTCCAGGTCTGGTCCAATGTTTATGCTCTGCTGAGGTTTTCTAGCCTCCTTTACTGCTATGTTATGTACGAGGTGCGAATTTTCGTCTCTTATTGATGGAGTTTTCTATTCCAAATTTGGTTAAACTAAAGGAGAGATTTTTTGTAATGGTTGAACAACTTACAGCTTCAATTTCTTCTACAAATGGTTTCAGCCTTAGTGATTGAATAAACATTATTTCTGTACCTGTTGAACCAGCAAAGTACACACTCCATCCTTGAAGTCATGCTTCTCATCAAACATTATCTCTCTATCATCTTTGTACCAGATGATTGATGTCTCCTTTTTAATGTTAGCCACCTAAGTAGAAGGAAAGAGAAATTACATTAAGGGTTGGTTTGATTCATCCCTCATTTTGAATTTTTCCACAAAAATTATATTTGACTTCTCTGTTTTTGTTCTCATATCCAAATTTCATATCAAAATATGTTCTCACTGTTAATCCTTGATGCTGACCCATATTGATTTATGTTTGTATTAGCATGACTAAGTCTGCAATTTCACATTGTGTTCCAGTTCTCTAAACATGTTAGCCTGCTAATCATGCAAGTTCCTGATTTATACATAGGAGCCTTGACAATGAAAGGCTGACATTATATGATTATTTTGGTGGATTTTCATTAGAGTTCCCTTTTCAAGGGAGTGTCTCCTCCCAAATACATCCACTGGCCTAATTTTCCTAAGCTGTGAGTTCACGTGCCCTCAACCTTACAAAGATTCACTCATTTTCAGAAGCCAGAAGACATTGTTTTTTTGCCTGATCTCTGACATCTCCAGAGGTGGGTCGGTGTGATGTGCATAGCCTGAGTATTACTCTTGGGTTAGGGAGGGAGAGAGAAGTTCTGTGCAGGTGCCTTTTCAATATTGTTTGTGGACACTGCGGGGGGGTGGAAAGAAAAAGTACATTGGCCTCAGAACTGGCAGAACCCTCTCTCGCAGCGACCTGAAACCTATACCTCCCATCCTGGCCTTGACCCTATTGCTGCCATCAGACCGGACATCCCCCTCTCTCTCCAGGCCCTCCTGTTTCCTCAACTACATAACCCACTGGCTGCTGGACCTGACACCATCCATCAGTGCTGACGCCAACAATACTCACCCCCACCAACACAGGAGCTGACACCATCACTCCCTCCAGAGATCTGATGACACCCTACCTCACACCATGGGACCAGAGAAATCGCCTACCCACAGGACCCAACAGCACTCCTTCCCTCCAGAACCAATATCTCCCTACCACCTTGATCTACCCTAAATAATTCGTCACTTACCTGGCCCCCTTCCCACTTGACACCCTACTTACCTGGCATCATACCTATCTGGCACCCCAGCACCGTACCCTCTAGGCATCCAAATCTCACATTTATATTATGTATTTAGTCTATCACGGGAGCTGTTAAGGAGTCTGTCTGTGACGTTTAAATCACAGAACAAAGCAGAATAGTTCTGCAGTGGGGTGGGGTGGGTGGGGTGGTGCGCGGGGAAGTGGGTGGTGGTTGTGGTTTGACTTCCTGTGACTGGCCTGCACTATGAGGGACCTGTCAGATTTAAAGTATGCTCTGCATTTCTGAAAGAGACCTGATGGCAATCTCAGGTCTGAAATACAGAGCTTTTTTAGTATTAAAGAAAAGCCGTGTCACAAACTGACTATGATTGCCAATCCTTGGAAAATCCAGCACATGTTTTTCTTGTCGAATAGTTATTTTTTCTTTGAGCTAAAAGTACATTTGCAGCCTCTTCTGAATGTGTTCAGTAACTGTACTCCATGGTTGAGAAAAAGTTAGGATTTCACAAGTAAAGTTTCAATCTAGGATCTGACAAATCTTGCATTAACATCAACTGGGATTTTAATACCATCCACAGGGAAAAGAATCTCCTTTCTTCCCGAAAAGCATTCAGGAGAACCTCTAGGTGGGCATTATTAAAGTATTGTTGTTTGCATTGTCTTCAACATTTCCAGGAATGTATGAAGTTGATGAGCAGGGGTCGACTAATCTCCTGGATTTCTAACAGAGACATTCAGTGTGGATGCCTTTTAAATATGGCTGTTGGGCCTTGGAGCCCAGAAGGTCAGTGGGCTTCTGAACTTCCAGGTCATAAACTTTAGTGTTTTACATGTGTAGCATATGTAATGGGCTGAAAATGTAATCATGTGAGAAAACCCAAACAACTCCCAGGTGGAATGCCTTTACACCTGTGCCATATTTCATCTCCAAAAAAGAAAATTCCACCCAAGGTATGGCCCTACTGTTGCCTCTTTGTACCAGAGAATCATGATAATATTCTCTGACAATGAAATCCAGTGAAGTCCTTAGATGACTGAGGAGACAAGTATTTGTGGACCAGGATCTCAAACCTCAGACTGAGTTAATGGGTTTACCAGGCAACAGTGAAGTCCACGCTCTGATCTGGAGATTTGGACAGTCTACTACAGTCTCCTCAGGGCACTAGAAATGAACACCATCAGTACCTATACAAGATCCTCCAACTCCAGTGTCAAGTATGTAGTGTTTTCCTAACTCAACATGCCCAGCATTGAGGGACTAATTATTCCAAATCAGCTGTGTTGTGTGAGACTTATCATTTGTATATATGACATCAGCAACAGTTAGGAACTTGGTGGTGGCAGGAGACTCGCAGGAGTGCAGTAGAAATGCTTTGGGGATCTTCTCAAAGCATCAATGCAGCGATTAAATACTTCTGCTGACCCTTGGGACACTCTGACTTGTGATCACTCAGCAAGGTACCGAACACATCTAGAGACATGGTTGAGAATGCACAGAGCAAAATTGAAGCATCAGAGAAACCACCAAATAACTCATCTGTCCCATCCTTCAAGCACATGGTGAAGTTTGCAGGTCCTAGTGTGGACTTAGCATGTCAGAGATCATTGAAACAAGGTGGAAACAAGTCATTATGCAAGCTACAATTGCTGCCAGTTAATTGTCAATTTTAAATCTAAGATTGATAGATTTTCGATGACCAGAGTATGAAGGCATATGGGACAAATGGTTGTAGATCAGTCATAGTGATATTGAAAGGTGAAATGGACTTGAAGGTTGAAATGTCCATTCCCGTTTCTTTTATCAATTAGCTGCAAACCAGTGAACATGTTTTCTAGCAGCTGGAGGATGCTTGTACACAAACTTTTTTATTGCTCACCATCTTGATTATACTCAGAAGTTCAAAGTCTGTGTAGATGAATCCAAGGAAGAGATTGGTGTTGTCCTCACAGGTGAATGCCCAAGATATAGTGTACCCCCATGGTTTACTGAAACTAAAAGTCAGGTGTCCCAGACTTGGAGTACATGATGCATCAAAGTCCCAGTCCTTGCACACTCTCTCAGTGGAATCAGATGTTGCGCCATGCAAAACACACATAGGAAGCCTTTGTGGTAGATGAATCAACAGGTTTAAATTTCATGTGCTCCAGAGAGCAGTTGGGATTAACAGGTACTTCCCTGAGCCATTGGAAATTTGATCTAATGACAACTATGAATGCAAAAAAAAGTATTAAAAGTACAGAAGCCGCCGACGCCTTTAAACTCCATTAGTGTTATGCACTTACATCGAAACATAGAAGTTAGGAGCAGGAGGAGGCCATTTAGCCCTTTGAGCCTGCTCCGCCATTCTTCACAATCATGGCTGGTCATCCAACTCAATAGCCTAAACCTGCTTTCTCCCCATGTTTGATCCTATTTGCCCCAAGTGCTATATCTAATCGTCTCTTGAATACATTCAATATTTTGGCATCAACTACTTCCTGTGGTAATGAATTCCACAGGCTCACCACTCTTTGGGTGAAGAAATGTCTCCTCATCTCCGTCCTAAACCATCTACCCTGAATCCTCATACTGTGACCTCTGGTTCTGGACACACCCACCATCAGGAACATCCTCCCTGAATTTATGAACAAAAACAAAGTTGCTGGAAAAGTTCAGCAGGTCTGGCAGCATCTGTGAAGTAGAAAACAGAGTTAACATTTCGGGTCCAGTGACCCTTTCTCATAACTGCATCTCTGAATCTACCCTGTCCAGTCCTGTTAGAATTTTATAAGTCTCTAAGATTTCCCCCCTCATTATGAACTCCATGTTACCCTATGCCTTAAAGCATAGGATTTCATCTTAACACTATCAATGGCAGTAAAATGCAATGGTAGGCTCAGAGTTGAGATGTTTAACCAGACATTGACCCTATCCCTAGAATTGTACCTCACTCATTTTTGTTAGGTGCACTCCCAGAGTTTAACCTTTCATTTTGAAATTCACCTTGGGAGAATGGGTGAGTGGTGATGTGGAAAAATATTGCTGCTGCAGGGCAGGAACTTGCAGTAACTTAAAGGAACATGTGTGAAAATAATGGTCGAAATCATCCTTAATGGGGAGTAGCAAATGGTTCTGCTTAAGTCACTGATAAGTCTCCAGGTTATGAGGAAGTCCTGATGCATGTATATGTGCAATACTTGTGCTGCTTTCCCCTGCAAGGATTGCTGCATGATTCCTCATGACAGTGGGATGGAATGATCAGAACCACAGAGACTTGGGTTGTATAAATTGTACTTAGCCTGGTTGTTTCATGGACATAATTAGTGCTTTTTTCTCTAGCTGGTGTAAAGTCAGCTGAGGATAGTAACTGTTAGGAAATTAGCTGTTGTGTTAAACCCTCCAGCACCATGACAAGATGCAACCCTCTCCTCACCATGTTCACTCCCCATCAACTTCGCTCCATCTACCAGACAATGCTCACACTTTCCTTGACACCACACCCCACTCCCCACAATATTCACCCCCTCTCGACAATTTTCCGCTCCCACTGTCAATGTTCACACCATTCCCGGGCCTGGTATCAGCAGCCCCAATGATGTTCACAACATCTCCCTTGTCCAGTAATGTTTACTTTCTCTACTGATAGTGCTCACCCTTCCACTCTAGCCATAACTTAGTACCCTGACAGTGTTAACTCCCCAAACCCTAACCTCAGGCCCTCTGTCCCTGGCAACATTCATCCCCTGTCCCAACAACGTTGATCTCCGTTACCGTTCACTTACACTCCCAGAAATGCTTACCTCCACCACACACGTAGGCAAACACACACACACACATACACATAATTTTCATCCCTATTCCTGGCAAGATTTAACCCTGTCTAAATAGTGCTCATGCCCCAGCAATGACAATCATGAGCATCCAGTGATGTTAATCTCCATCCTAGCAAAGTTCACGTCCCAACTTGATTCTGGATTCATAATGGAGCTGGGACCAGAAGGATTGAGATAGTTATTGGGCAGTTTAAAAGTGGAATCAGCAGTGAGCATATCTGCTTCAATGCTGACTGAACAATCATTATCATAGAGAAAAGAAAAAATAAAGTTGCTAAGCTAGTTTAGCATCAGATATTGACGGGTATATTTATGGTTTTGAAGTTGACAAAAGAGGAAATTGCTCAGGTCCTAAAAGATCTATTTTAGGGAACTGGAGAATGGCTATCATGGCACCATTTTTAGATGAAATACAGCAACAGTCTGGTTAACTACAGGACAGTTAGTTTAACCATGGTATGGGAATTTTTAAAGTCCTTAAATGAGATTGAAATTACATGTATTTAGGAAAAGAGAAAATTGTTGGAGGGTCAATACAGGTTTCAAAAGGGGTTGGACAAATCACATGCAATTCTTTGTGGTTGTAATACACATGGGAGATGGGGGAAATATTGTGGAATTGGTACTTCATGACCCCACATTGCATTTATTATCTTTTTTGGGTTATTCACTCTGTACGTTATATAAGTAATACCAGCTACCAAAGAGAAAATATGATAGATGTCCTGACTGTTGCATAATTTAAATGTGCCAATCCATATTTGGTTGGACACATCTACCATCACTTCTGGCAAGAAATGCATTTGGCACAGAAATGGGAGAGGTTTCTGCCAAGATGAATCCCCACACGATTTTCAGTCCCCACTAAAAGGGAAAATCCTGAGTTCCTGATGTATTTGAAATAACTCCACACTGTCACCAAGCCACCCTTTATTTACACTTGGAGAGTCTTTGACACTGATCCAGCTCCCTCAGAGCCAGCTCTCAGGGTGAGCAGGATGTCTGACACTCTTGTTTTTATCTGTCAGCCAGGGCTCCCTGATTGGACCAGATTAACGGCCCCAGTCAGAGAACTCATATTCCACTTGGCTGACGTTGTTACAATCAGTTTTGAACACTTTTAAATAAAAATGTAAGAGCAAATTTCTTTTCAGACCACAACCTAATCAGCCCAAGATATCCAGGTTCTTTCCAAAACTTAAACATGAGTTATTTTTTGGAGAAATGATCCATTATAACAAAATTGCTGGAAAAAGTTGTTTCTTTTACCTTGCATTTCAAAAGTACACTGCAGTCATTATTAACTTCCCATCCAAGATACTCAACAAAATGAGGACCTGTTTGCACAGAAAATATATCAATGCAAATGGACTTGCTGAAAATAGGAAAAAATACACAATTCACATTTTTACCACACAATTTTCATAAATATAGAATTAATCTATAAAAGGTCGATAACAGAAACTGGCAACTGAACTTTCTGCCTGCTGAATAAAGTAGGTTAAAACTGAAGGCTGCAGGCAATAAGTGGGCAGCCATTTTAAGACACCTTTAAAAATTTCCTTGTTTACTTTGCATCAAAATGACAGGATTAACTTTGTCACTTGATTGTGATTTGTTGATTTTCTTGATTAGTGCAAGAAAATAATAGCTGCCAAGCAATATATTAATCAGAGTATACCATTACCTTGTTTCCTGAGCCACTCCCCTCTCTGGAATTCTGCTTCCTTTTGCAGATTTTTAAACACTGAAACAGAAAGGTAAGCACTTTGACAACAGAACAGTTGACCATTGTGTACAAGGCAAGTCAGTATAAAGAAACCAAATTTTGCACCGTCAAAACTGATCAATGTGAATATTAATAATTATGCATGAGTACACTTTTAGTTTTCTAGTAGTTCTGTTGTTATGAATAAATTATTTTTCCTTTAATATTTGTGTCACTAAAGACTTTTATAGAAATTACATTAATGGAGTTGTTCAGATGTTTGATCATTTTTGGATAAGATCGTTAAAATAATCTCACAAAACAAGTTCAAAGCTGTTTGTAGATTTTCTTAACATTGTATTTTGCATTGATTACCTCCCACTTGCAAGCTATTTGTATGGAAACAAAGGCAAGAAAATAATAAAACTATTTAGCATTTTTAATAGATAGCAGGAACTGCAGATGCTGGAGAATCTGAGATAACAAGGTGTAGACCTGCCTGAACACAGCAGGCCAAGCGGCATCAGAGGAGCAGGAAGGCTGACGTTTTGGGCCTAGACCCTTCTTCAGAAGGCCCGAAACATCAGCTTTCCTGCTCCT